CTCAGGTCTCTCGCTTGCAAGGCGAGTGCTCTAACCACTGAGCTACAGGACTCCACAGAAAAGGCAAAGAGGCATAACATGCTCTTGATCACTTAGTAGTAGAAACACAAAGCCCAGAATGAATTCTGTAGTATGTGGGGGGTCCTTTACGAGAATATTCAAGTGTTATTTGTTGCAGGTGCATCTGCTAACTGATGATACTCCCTCAGGCAGGTGATTGAATGGAGCATGTAGCACATGGATTCTAACAGCTAAGTGTTTGGGAGCGTGAAGGCTACAAATTTAAGTGTCTGAGTGCTCAGGTTTACATGGAGCAGAAAGTTAAAGCAGCAATGTCAGACAAGGCTGTTACATGTCACTCCTCCTTTATGGATCTGAGCTCCTGGGGATGCAGTAGAGAGGCTTCCTCCGACCCACGATCAAGCAGTGAGATTTGTGGCAAACAGTCGAAACAGCCGCAGAGAGGGAGGGCTCTGGCTAACACTGACCTGTCGCTAAGCAACAACAACAAATTACACCCTGGAGGCAAAGTCGGATTAAGCAGCTGGTGCTGAGTAAGGCTGGTACGCGGCATTGGACTTGGACCTTAAGAACATCAAGGTGGCTGGCACATCACAAGCTGTCCTGTAAAGGTCCTCCCACTACACTGAAGGCAGACGCCCACCAGATAGCTGACAAAGAAACTCTGAGGCTTGGGGCAACAGCTGCTGGAAGGTGTTACTTGGAGTCTGGGTTTGTGAACACACGTTCATACGTCCAGCACCTGGAATCCACCGTGATTGGCCTGCAGCGAGGCAAGAAGCTGCTGCTTAAACTCCACATCTCCAACTGGTGGAACCATCGCCCGAAAGGGAAGGGATGTGTGTCTGAGCTGCGGACAGGAAGATGGTGGCAATGCTCTCATGCTGGACAGCAATATCAATGGCAAACCATGCGGTTTTAGCTGGTTAGACTCCAGCAGTACCCTGGTGCATACTCTGGGGTCCCCAAGCCATGGCTCTTGCCAGCCTACATGTAATACTTTCCGGAATTAAGTAAGCAGAATGCGTCCCCCCAGAGAGTGTACATTCCATTCCAAAAATCTATCTCTGGGATTTCCTTGTGTAGGTGGGATGCATGGAAATCTCAGCTTGGTTTGGATACTCTTAAACATGGTGATGGGTGTGTCAAATACCCGAATGACACCCCCCCATCCCCAGCCCACGCACCAAAAAAAAAAGCTGGAAGTACATCTCTTCTACAAACCGGATTAATAGCCTAACCCCTCCCCTGCAATCCTTCAGCATCAATTTAGCTGGCTTCCCTTGTTGAGAAAGTCCGCAGAACGCATAAGCATTATTTTGTGTTTCCCTTCCAGAAACATAACAACATTATGACACTGTCGGCTGGGCACCTGAGCTGGGGGTGGGAGCCGAGAGAAGTGGGATGGAGTGGGGGAAAGATGACCAAAAGCGTGGTCAAAGAGTTAGGTTGTGACATGCCTTGAAAGAGGGGAGGGAGGGAGTCGGAGAACCTGGAGGAATGAAACTCCCGAGAGTGGGGGCAAAATGGCAATGATGGGGCAGATAGGGTGGGGGGACATGAAACAAGCTGGCATTTGCTCTGCAAAGGGAATGGCGAGGTTGGAAGGTTGTAGAGGGAGGGAGGATGGGTAGGGGGTGGAATGGAGGACGTAGAGCAGTTTTTCACTGGGGAAAGAGGGAGGTTTCTGTGTGGAAATTGTACAGCACATCATTTGGTGTCTGTCCTCAGTCCCCACTCCCTCAGTGGCCGAGAGAAACTCCGATCGTACATCCCTCACATTCACTCCCTCCCCCACATACTCTCTCCCCCCCCCTCATTCACTCCCTTCCCACAGGAACAATCTCTTTCCCCCTCACAATCTCCCCCTCACTCTCCGCCTCTCTCACACCGTCCCTCTCTCACACACACAGTCCATCCAGTCCCTCTCTCTCACACCCATCCTCTCTCCCACCTCTCTCTCTCTCTCCCCCTGCCCCTCCCCCCCTCTCTCACCCCCTCCCTTGCTCACCACCTTCCCCTCCCCCTCTCACCCCCTCTTGCCCCTCCCCCACTCGCCCTCTCTCGCCCCCTCCCCCTTCTCTCTCACCCCCCCTTCCCCCCCTCTCACCCCCTCCCTCTCATTCCCCTCACCTTCCCCCCCCCCCCACTCTCCCCCCCCACCCACTAGTTTCCCCCCACTTTCATTTCTTAGGTTATGGCATTTAAGAAATTGTCCATTCACCCTTCTTCAGGTGCCATTTCTATCTACAATGGGCCCTGCTATATCCATCAGAACATGATTAATTTTGTCAGCCACTTTCTTGTACGCACTCAAGAAGATTTGTTGGTGCCATATTCTCATTTAATGTTTTTAGCCTCTCTGATATTGGAAATATCTATATTCTTAGAACCCAGCATAACCCTGAAAGATTCTATTTATGATTCAATGACATAGATCTTATGGTGAGACAAGATAACCAGCACTGAAAAATCTTGTTCATTTGTTTAACGAAGGTACTAAACCCATTCCTGATAAAATTACAACTAAAGTGGAGCAGCAACTCAAGGGTCTGAGCGAATAACAGACACCAAAGCGAGCGCATCTTGGAAAAACGCAAGATAACAGACAAAAGGCAGACAGAAATAACATTTCAAGGCCACCTTGAAGCAAAGACTGCCACAATTGATGTAGTTGGCGGAGTATATAGCATCTGAGACATTGCTTGTAACATGCAGTTATTGCCTGAAAAGGGCTGATAATCCAATGGGGTGCTGGGATGTGTTCCATTGTTGAAGGTGCCGCTCTTTGGATGAGAGGTTAAACCAAGGTCCCGACTACCTGTCCAGGTGGAAATTAAAGAACCCAGGGACTCTATTTGAAAAGAGAAGGGAGTTTATCCCACTGTCCTGGCCAATAATCCCCAAATAAAATTGGTCATTGACTCCATGGCTGTTTGTGGGACATTGCTGTGTTCAAATTGACTGGTATGTTCACCAATAATTTACACAGTAACTATGCTTAATATGTTATCCTGTGAAGGGCTTTGAGATGTCCTCCTGACATGAAAGGCACTATATCAAACAAAAGGATTCTATTGTTATTATTTCTCCAATAGAATGAAAACAAGAAGCCAAATGCCCTTGAGGAGAGGAGCGAAAATTGCCAAGATGATGAAAAAAAAGTCTTATGAAAAGTGTGGAATAGCAATACAATAGCTGGGGCAAAAAGAGAACCAGCGAAAGCAACATCAACCAGCTCAGGCCAGAGCCGGCAATACCATATCTGCTGATGGGCAAGTGGGAAAAATGTACTTCCTACACAGGGCTCTGGAGTCGTGTGTGAACCTACCAAATAAAAGAACTCACCTTCTCAGTTGTTTTCCAAAATAAAGAAGTCACCAGTTTATATCACCTGCTAGAGTAAAGAGTTTTTGTGGTCAAAATAACAACACCTAAAGTGCTAATTATCACATCACAGAGTACTCTGGTGCCTGTTGATGTCTGACAATAGGTGTGACACCTCCCTCATATTTGCCATTGGGCCTGGCAGCCCGCAGAGCATGGTATACCAGCAACAGCAACAACAAGTTGCATTTATATTGCACCCCTCACACATGCTAGTGTCCCACAGTGCTTTGTGCCAATTAGTGGATTACTGGTTTAACAAAAAAAACTAAAAACTAAGGTCAGATATTGACAAGAAGGAAGATTTTAGATATGTTAATTATCACCAGGGATAATTGTCACTCCTTCATTTCCACTCCACCACCCCCACTCTCCAAAAATGACTACTTTACACTTGTCAACATTAAACTGCATCTGCCGCTTCTCTGCCCACTCTATGCTCTCCTGCCATTTCTTGAATTCTTCATCGCAATCTGCCAAGCAGTGTCCTCCTCACCCCACCCTTATTCCACCTAAATTGATATCAGCAGCATATTTGGAACCACTGATAAGTTTGCTTTTCTCGTACAAGTTCAAATTATTCTTATTATTCTCAGCCTACAAAGTACACAATCAATCCACTTTACAGTATATTCTGTGAAGCGCTTTGAGACGTCATGACATGATAAGGTGCTATATCAAATGCAAGGATTATTATTATCATTAGTTGTGTGTTTTTTTTAAAAAAAAGCAGCTGCCACGCTCTTCCCTCTACCTCAGTCATCATCTCCCATCATTTCTGTTCAATCACTCTTAGCTTTCAGCCCCAGGGTGACTGTCAGGTAGCACACCTACATTACCTGACTACAAGTACCAATTTATCCCTAAGGTGCACCACTCCACTGAGCAACGATTGGAGGAATACTGATGGAACTCATTATCACACATTGGGCTGAAAATAATAGCCAAAAGGTCTGAATCAAAGCTAACCACTCGAACTTGCTTCACGAACACAAAGGATCAATTTTTACAATTGTCAAGCAAATGACTAAGTGGAGGGTCCCAGAGCGAGGTGGACAAAGGGGGTGGGTGGGTGGGTGGATGGAGGAAAAAAAGAACCAGTGAGAATAACCAATAAGTCCACCCGTTTAATCATAATCTAAATCTCATCAAATTCAACAAGCGGCAAGGCTGGATTTAAAGGGCGAGATGAATGAGAGCTTGATGCAGAAATAAAAGTGGTTGTCAATCTTTAGCACAAGTGGGTAATCAGGCAATTTCAAGGAGTTAGTTGGTCAGAAGTGCCAACATTTAGGAATAAATCAGATGTGCTTCATTCACCCCAATGCAACAGCCAACCTCTCAGCCCTGCCACTGCATAGCTCTGTATTTTCTATGATAACGCTTTCTGAAGCCTACCTTTGCTGCAGCTCCTTTATGCAATTCAAGCTCTCCTCGACAATCCAACCGTATGTTAGTTACAACAGGGTCTGCATGCAGACTGTCAAGGGAAACACGTTACTGAAATACACCGGGTTTCATATCTCCCGACACCCGAGATAACCTTTCTCCTACCTGCCAAGGGGAACAACTGGGTTGGTTTAGAGGCTTACCTGGGTGCAGGATGCTTGAGATAATTCAAGTGCGCCTACATCCTTGCGGCTCATTGTCATCCCCTGGTTCGGTTGTCCGCTGCATGGAAAAAGAAAGTTGCGGAAAGGAAAGACTTAAGATCACACATTTGCACTGGGTTCGTCCTTCAGCGCTGCTTGCACATCTGCATCCAGATGTGAATAGCAGAGAGATGCGGAGCAAGTGGGTGAGCAGATGACAGACACACACACACACACAGGTAGATGCAGATGGGCAAATTCAGGGCTGGAATGAAATGACACCCGATGGACAGGCGATAGGCTCATTCTGCGGTCAATGGACTTGGCCAAACGAGTCAATTTCTCAACGTTTGATCCAGTGCTCTCTTTTTTTTCCCCCCTCCATTCAAAAACAATTCTCAGAAGGACAGACAGACAGACGATGCATTGCTTAGTTTAGGAGAAAACGTGTGTGTGTGTGTGTGTGAAAAAAAAACTCTGCTGTCTTTTGTATCAAATGATATACGTGGCGTTTGATGCAAAAGTTGTTGTCCATTGCATTGTGCAATGCGGGGCTGGACTGAGAGAGAAGGTCCTACCTGACTGGAGGTGCTCCTCAGAGCTCAGTGTGAAGGCAGTGTGAGTGCTCTGCTCTGCTCCCCCTGATCACTCTGCACCAGACAGGCCAATGGCACCCGCTGCCTGGCATCTGTCACATGACGGCAGCGGCCAATCTCCATAATGTTTTGCGCAGTGCCGAGCGGAGCCCTCCGGGGAACAGCTTTAAGCAGCTCCAGTCTGTCAGAGTCAGACACAATAGGGAGAAGCTCCAGACTGGGGGCTGTCTGGCTGCTGCCTCTCTGTCTGGGGGGTGTGTGGGTGGGGGGGGGAATCATATGCATTCACTGCCTCTCCCCGAGTCCAGCCAGGGCTGGGGCGGGGGGGCTGGGGCGGGGGGGGGGGGGGGGGGTCTCTGTGCAATTGCACAGCACCAGACCCCACAGCACAGCTCCACAACTTTCACATCCCACTGTGTTGTCGGACTGTGGGGGAGTGAACAGCAACAGAATACAAATGAGCCCGAGCTGTCGCAGCAGAGAGGAAGATGGTCCTCTCTCTCTCTGTCTCTCTCTCTCTCTCTCTCCCCGTATTATAGTGCAAGAATTGCTCGATGGAATTCTTCGATTGAGGCGAACACGAGGACAGATAATCGCATTATTCTGTAGATTTTTTTGCAAAAAACAGAAATGAGCAAATATTGGATCTTTTCAATCTTGCAATTCGTGAATGAATGCACCGCTTTACCGCACACACACACACACACACACACACACACATATATATATATTATTCTCCAGTCCTGTTGCATTTAATTAAATGGAGAGACAGCCCTTGAGATGTGAAAATGAATAACCATATAATCGATTAAAGGAAGTAGAGAAACCCTCAGCCCCATCGCCAGGATCAGAAAGGAATGTCCATTTAATCCATTGTCGCAAACATTGTTCAACCACCTGTTTCTACTGTGGCTGTGATGACCATTCCCCTATTCGTGGCTATAGAATTGGTTCAGAAAGGGTTGAGGAATCATCTCCGCTATTTTCCTCCCACAGGTTTATATAAGTGCTTTCTAAGACCTGAAGTCTCATTGGTTTCAGGTCAGGGCTGCAGTGCTCTCTGCTGGGCATACAGACCCTGCAATACTCAGGGAGCAACACGTTGTAGATTCGCCCAAACGTCTGAGTGTTTTAATTACTCATCAACAGAGCCATTCAGACTAATTTGGTGTTGTAATTACCCATCAGAAGACTCATCGGATGAAGAAGCATTTCATTCCGGCTTTATAATTTTCTTCGGTTCAGCGCCAACAAGACCGATGCTCTCCCTATTGGCTCCTGTCAGCGCCTCCTCACCTCGGGCGCTGACAGTATCGCCATCCATGGCTGCACACTCCGCCTTGCTAAGCCAGTCCGCAACCTTGGGATCTTTTTTGACACTCAACTATCCTTTCTACCCCACATCCGTGTCCTGACCTGCTCTGCCTTCCCCACCTCCGCAACGTCGCCCGGCTCCAACACTGTCTCACACCGCAGGCCGCCAAAACTCTCATACACGCTTTCATTATATCGAGGCTCGACTATGCAAACTCATTGCTTGCCGGCCTTCCCAACTCCTCCCTCCATAGGCTGCAGATCATCCAGAACTCTGCAGCCCATGGCCTCTCCCGCACGAGGCTCCATGACCCTATCACCCCCATCCTCACTCGACTCCACTGGCTTCCCATCACACAGAGGATATAGTTCAAGATCCTGTTCCTCATCTTCAAAGCCCTCCATGGTCTTGCTCCCCCCTACCTCTGCGACCTCCTAACGCCCTACCATCCTGCTCGCTCCCTCCACTCAGTGGGCTCCAGCCTGCTTCACGTCCCCCGCCTCGCTCGCCCCACTATTGGCGGGTGGGCTCTCTGCCACTCTGCCCCCATCCTCTGAAACTCCATTCCGCAGTCCCTCTGTCTTGCCCCCTCCCTTGCTTCCTTAAAGACCCTCCTCTTTGACCATGCTTGGGATGTCCTCCCGACGTGAAAGGCGTTTTACAAATGTAATTTTGTTGTTGTTGTATAAGAGAGTATAAAAGAGAAGAGGTGATGTTGAATTTATACAAAACCTTGATTAGACCACAGTTGAAGTATTGTCTCCAATTCTGGTCTCCACACTACAAAATGGATACAGCAGTGATGGAAATAGTACAATGTAAGTTTACAAAAATGATACCAGAGCTGACAGGTTACCTCTATCAGGATAGACTTGATAGGTTAGGCCTTTTATCGCTAGAGATTAGATGTTTATGCGGGGAGTTAATAGAAATGTTTAAAATTATAAAAAGGTTTGATGATAAGGTTAATATCAATAGGTTTCCACTGGTTGGGGAGTCTGTAACAAGGGGGACACAAATATAAGATAGTGATAGGGATCTGAAGAGAATTTAGGAGAAACTACTTCACTCAGAAGGTAGTGAGATTGTGGAACTCACTGCCTGAAGTGATGGTTGAATCAGATAGTATAGATGCATTCAAGAGGAATCTAGATATACATATGAAGATGAGGAGAAGGGTATGGGAGGCAATAAGGAATGGGTGGAGAACCAGGTAGAGTTTAAACACTAGCACGGAATAGTTGGGGTGAGTAATTTGTTTCTATTCTGTACATTCTTTGTAAATCTGTTTTTCTTCTCATTCTTTCATAGAGAGGATTTCAATCTTATCTTTATAATCTGCTCACTCATAGAGTAGCCCCTGAATTTCTCTCTCTTTCTCTCCATCACACACACACATACACACATTCACGTGGATTGAATATTGAAGGCATTAAACCGGTGACAAAACAGAAAAGTTGAGTGATAGCAATAATTCATTTCCTGTCCTGCAAGTACAGAGCGTTCCGGAAATGGTGCATAAACTGGTGTCCAGCAATCTCCAGATACCATTTAGAATAGTGTGGCAGTTCTGGTCACCTTACTACAGGAAGGATACTGCAGCATTGGTGAGAGTAGGGTAGATTTACAGGAATATTACCACAGATGAGAGGATATAGTTATCAAGAAAGATTGGATTGGTTGGAGCTTTTCTCTCTGGAGATGAGATAATGAGAGGAAACATGATAGAAGGTTTGCTTTTTCAACTTGTTAGTGAGTCTAAAACAAGGTAGCATAAATATGATAGCCACTGCTAGATCTGAAAGAGAGTTTAGGAGGAACATCTTTACACAGAGGGTAGTGAGAGAGAGGAATTCATTGCTGCAATCTGTGGTTGAAGCAAAAAAAATCAGTATTTAAGAGGAAATGCCTTTCAAGTAGCATAATGTCTCAGAGCGCTTTACAAAGACAGGATCGGATACCAAGCAAGGGGAATGTCACCATAGGCGTAATTCAAGAGGTAGGTTTTAAGATGGAACTTAAGGACAGGCAGAGACATCTATATTCGGTAGTAAAAATTGATGGATAAATTGATACAGAAAGTTCAGTCACTGAAAAAGGGTAAATACCCTCATGTGGCATGAAATGAAATGTGAAAGGTTACAGACCTCACTGCTGATCTGTACTGAGATAGCTGATCTCTGCAGGTAGTGCCCGGGTGGGCGTGGGGGAGGGGGCTGGAATCAGGACAAGCTCAGTTCTAAATCAGATTTAGTGAGTGGTTATTAATATGAATTCTTATTTGAATTACTTGTACTTTAAGCTGTTTACAAGGGGTTCAGAATAAATGTCAGTCTTGATAAATGTTGTCTGTTCAACAGTATATACCACCTCCATTGGATGCACAGTATGCATAGGATATGTGTATTGCAATGTGACTATTCATACCCTTGCAGTAGCCTGAATATCATGTCAAAAGCTGTAATGCATATATAGTACTTCATTATGCCATTAGCAAAATATGCAATATTCATAAACACAGGTAACAGGGAAGATTTGTGGTTAAGAAAGAAGATGTAATTAAGCATCCACAAGCAAGATAAACCTACTGTTACAAACCAAACTGGGACACCACTATAACTGCCTGTGTGCAGATTAAGAGAAAGCATTGATATATACCATGAATCCTGCAGAGTGAAATTAAATGTCCTAACTGATTTCTGCTAGAGTTCCATAAATATAATTAGCAGTCTCACCATAGTACAGCCTAGGCACATCATAGTACATCATCATTAATTTGGACCCCTTACCCCTTTTTAATTTATCTTGACGTCTCAAAAGCCTTCATAGTATTCTGTAAAGTGTAGTGAGTGTTCGTTTTGTAGGCAAATACACAGCCAATTTGCCCACAGCAACGTCCCAGAAACAACTAAGAAGTGAATGACGCATTTGTCTACAAATCACACAGATTACAAATTACAAAGCTTTCCTGTGAAAAGCTTTGAGGCATGCTCCTGACATGAAAGGTGCTACATCAAAGGTAAAGATTAGCAGCAAATTAGGGAGTATGGTAAACAGTGTGGACAAAGGCAGAATTCACAACAATAGGTTTTAGCTTCTTTTTTCCTGTATTGCTAGTCACTGTCATAACTACAGTCCAGTCACTGCTTAACTGCCTTCATGGCTATCATGAATATTTTAGCTATGAATGCCTATAATAATGTACACGAGGATGCAGATAGGTTAGAGGAGTTGGCTGATAAATGCCAATTGGAATTCATTATGGAGAAAACACGTTAAAGAAAGAAAATATAAGTTAACTGGTAATATCAGAAGGGGCAGAGAGACATGCATACATCTTTAATGGTGGATGTGCAAGTGAATAAGTCCATAAAAAAGCTAATCCAGGCTTTATATATGTGGTTATTCAATACACGAGCAAGCAGACAATATTAAACTTGCACACGACATTGTAGATGGAAGACAACATTCAGTTGTGGCCAACCCCTTATAGAAAGGACATCACAGTCATGGAGAAAATACAGCTGAACATTGAGAGGAGCCTTTTTAACCTCAGACCACATTAGATCCTGCTAAGTTTGACCATAATTTTAAAATAGTGTCTCCATTATTTAAACCTCCAGCTGCTCACTCCCTCCCCCACCCATCAGGACTGCCAGCCACTTACCCTCCCACATCAATTCAACTCAATGTGCTCTTAGTGATACTCAGCGTTACCACTGTTCTGCGTAC